CCAGATCGTTGATAAAGATATTGAACAATCAGATTGCTGTTTGGTAAGGTGCTACGTACTTTTTTTTGATGTTGGGGCACAGTTTCAGCACATCCTCCTTGCAAGCCATTTTAAACTTGTATGAGAACCTAAAATCTTTCATTTGAACCTGAAAGAGAGAAATGAGAAAAACAACTTCGGTCACTTGGAGGAAAAAAAAATGAAAAGTGCTGCCCAAAAGAACACTTGTTGAATCATATAGTAAGCAAATGGTTTTGTCCACAACTTATTAATGCGGAAGCAAGGGGAACGCTGCACCTCTGAAGAAGCTGGGACCCTATCTACCATACGCCAGGAAGGACGGACAGCCTGAAAATAAATCATCTCCAGAAATGACCATTTATGACCAGGCATGCAAGCACAACTGTCTGAATTCACAAGAGCATTTTAAGTACAGTGGGAAATCAATCTCAAAAAAGGAGGGGTTTCATAATTAGCTAATTCCTGTCAACACCCTCAACGAACAGAACAGGCTTCCATTGATAGCAGAGAAAAGCGCTGCTTACCAGCTGGAAATGAGTAACTCCGATTGCACATTTTTCATTCATTTCCTTCTGGTGTTTGTTCTGTATTAGACACTCCATCAGGTCCCCAGAATCAATCTGGTTATCTGCAACCTCCTGAAGAAGAGATGAAAGGCTTAAAAATGAGCTACTCTTACAAGTCATGATTTTTATGCTCCTTTAGCCCACTGTGACCAGGAAATAATGGAACTTGCAGTGCCACTCTACTGTGAGCTTACGCTCACCATAACCGACCACCTGAGAATTGTACCACGTAAGTATTTATAGATACAATTCAGAAAAGAATCACCTCAGGCACACGCACACTTTAGACTCAGGAGAACATACTGCAGAGACTCAATGCTTCAATGAAGTATTACAGCTAGGTGCTTTCATTGCTATTTAACTACTCAATCCTAGAGCAATGCAAGAAGTTATTTCAGCAATGCTGAGCAGCTGCACAGAGTGGAGTGGCTAGACACAATGCTTGCAGGCAAGGAGGAAGGAAAAAGTTTAGGTTTTAACCCACTGTAAAGAGTGATTTTTCCAATTACAGGGCAATTTTCATCTTCAAACTCTAGCTTTTACGCTAGGGCTCTGACAACAGCAGAAATACTAAATGGAACTAAGAATTTTTGGTTTAGGGTGGTTTTTTAATTAAAGACTTTTGTAACTGCTTACATCTGATTTTACTTTTGAGATGTAGCAAGTACACTAAGAACTAATACTAAAACCCTCTAACCTTTCCCACACTGTTTTTTCCCCAAAGATATTCACACTGTTACGGAGTACTCACATGACAGAACGTCTGGATAATGGGCTCACATGCTCTCATCAGCAAGGCTTCAATTTGAATGTCCTGCAGAAAACATGCAATATTTTATTTTCACAGTGAATGGACAAGAAAAAAGGACTCTGAAAAAAACCTGTGATAACAAGCTAAACTCTACCCAGTTTACAGGGTTTTGAAAGATGCAATCCAGACAGCTTTGCCCTTCAGTTCTGGAAATCCTAGGGTTCATTCTTGCTGACAATGTGGCAAATGCAAGACAAGCCTTCCAGCTTAAGGGAAGAGCCTGGTCTCCACAGAAATTAATTGCTTGGATATTTCAGCCAATCTTCTCTGAACTGGATGCTACAGCACTAGAAATCACCTTACACCTAGGCAGGAGTTAAAGATTAACGATAATTATGAACAAACCATTTTGTAACCACTGGAAGGAAGCTTTCCCTAGGGCACAATGTAAATTTTAAGAGATATGGGGAACAGTTTGGGACAAGATAGTCAAATATGCAGCTTCATAAAATAAGTAAAGCTGCTGACCTCACTGAAAACCTCTAATGATGCACCTGGCAGTTACTTCTTGCAAAATTTTTGGGACAGGGAAGTTGCAATACGGTACTCAAAACTACTTGCAAGCAAGACCAAAAAATGAAGTCCCATGACATATCTTGACTTGTACTAAAGGTAACTGGGTTACCTGTGGAAGAAATCCTAGCTTCAGTATACCATAACCGATTTTAAGCAGGAGAAATGTAATCACCAGCCTAAAATCCTGAACGGTTGTTCAGTTCTCTTCCTCAAGAACCCCACATGAAAACTTACATTGTACGGGTTAGAACGGATGGTCTCTGCTTGATCCCAGAGAGCTGCATTTCTGCAGCTACTCTAACCTCACTTTCTTCATCAATGTCAAAATGACATGCTCAACTCTTCCCTTTATCCGAGGCTGAAAACCGCTCACCTCGGACTCCAGCTCAGTGAGGTTTCCCACTATGTCTCTGCAATCAGACACCAAGTCATCAAGATGGTCCTGAAGGCATTCCAGCTCCTACAAAACCAGACATTTTAGTGTGTGAGCCAAGAACCCAATTTGAAAATTTGGGATTGAAATATTGTAACACATGTGAAACTGCCCTCCGCCTTGTAAAGTCCTAAATCTCATTTAATCCCACTCCTCTGCTGGCACTCCCAGAACACATTTAGGTAGTAGTGATTGAGAATGTTGGTCTAGGATGTTACCGCTTGTTCTCAAAAGCTGCATGCTGTGCTTTCTCTTCTGGAACACCACATTTAATTTGGCCTTCACATAACCTTAATGAGAGGTTAATTACCCAAACTACAACCTGTGATGGGCACTTCAAAAAGACAGTGGTGTACGCTCTACTGCATCTGCTGTAGAATGGCTCCTCCCCTACAGCTATGCTAGGGCACAGCAATTTAACATGAAAGTATTTGTTGAAACTTTGTTAAGTAGCAGCAGATGTTAATTCAGTTCTGTATAAACACAGGAAGCATGTCAGTATTTGCCAAATGGAAATGGGATAAAGTTTATGTGGGAAATGTCAAGCTTGTAATAGAATATTACAAATAAGAGTCAGGGTGGGATTGCTTCATTAAAGTCCTTCTTGTTAACTATCCCCTTTCCCCTTCTCATTCCGCTACACATTTGAACCTACTGAAGCCACACAGTAGGTGCAAAGCTTCTTCGCCTCACCTCCGTCTCTCAGTCTAGTGTAGATAATGTTTCAAACTGCACACATTTTTAATATATTCTCAGATATAGAGAGACAGCTAACAACAAGATGTCCCTTTATGCCCTTTTTTGCCCCTTCCACCCTTCCAGCTTTGCAAAAGAAGTAGCAGTGTTACTGTGTACAGTACCTGCCCTGTCTCTGTTTTTTCACTGCACCACTTCCCTAAGTCAATCATGCACTTGTCCTGGAGGGCTGGGTCCAGCTTCACATCCATGGCACGCTGATGGAGGATTCTCTGGACCTCTGCTCTGCACTCTCGCGATAGCTGCAAAGAGGGCAAAGCGCGTTTAGCATATAGGGTCTCTAAATCCATACAACGCAAACAAGATGCTATCAGGTGAAGTACTGAGAGTGACCATGAATGCCATCAGCAATCCCAGAAAGTACAGAAGTCCTGTACTGCTCAGCATGAGGCTGCTGGGGCCCCCACAAGCAATCCAGGCTCCAAGAGTTTGGAGCTTTGTCATGTAGTTTGGAGGAAGGCTCCTTTCATCCCACTAAAATAAATCTCACACTCTTAAACCTTCACTTTCCTTTTGAAATGAAATGTCAAAGCAGGTCCCTACATTGTCTGCTGCACTGCCCCTTTCATTCAAAGCTACAGACTGCTTCTGGAGAAGAAAGTCAAAATAGCTCATGCCCTCAATACCAAAAGGGAAGCTCAGAATGAGGCAATATAGTCCAGCTGTAATTTCTTCTCAGCAATCCCCACTGCAGCACATCAGAGCCAACATTTGCCAAGACTGAGGAAGAAACAAATTGTAGAAAATCCAGGGATAGTGCAGACCTAAAATGCAACAGTCAAAACTTAAAACTTCATACATTTAAAAATCCAAACCACTGGAAGTTACCTAGTGTTTTGTGGACAGCACTGGAAAAAAGTACAGATCTAACCTCGGATGAGTTTGCTTTCAAACGCTAAATTTCAAAATGACAGCTGCTCCCTTAGCCTACTTTCCACAAGAAAAATACATTTAAAAGCCTTTTCTCTCTCTGATAGATTATTTGCAGGCTGGCTATTGATTTCTTTGGTCAGCACTAATATAAAATGGAATTAAAAAGTCTCAACTCAGCACACTAAGAAACTGCATTAAAAAAAATTATTCCTAAAAGAGAGATGCTTTCAATCAATACTTGACCTCTGCCACAGAAGACCTTTTAAATCAAGCTGTAGAAATTAATTTTTAAGCCAGGCCATTGTGTAAACCCACCAACTCCTAGGGGCTGTGTACATTACAGTCCCAAAAGCAATGGAACCGAGTACCCAGCTGCTTTCAAGGGAGTGCCTGGATAAATGCACAAGAGGGCAGCAAACTTGAAGAGCAGCTCTGAACCAAAACGGATGTGATTATGGTGGATCTCCAGATTGCACGGCAGCAAGCCAGATCTCTACTGTCATCTTTAAAGACAGCATAAGCACATTTACCAGTACAGTATGCTCCAAAGAACTGAAAGGATGCTTTATATCAATAGGAAGAATTTAATGGAGTATAATCTGAAGCTGTACTCAAATCAAAACTTAATTAGAAACAGCCTAGGAAAGCTGGGCTTGGAACTCCTTTTTGCATAAAACCAATTTTGCAGCTATGCTAGCTATCTACAAGGAATCACATTCCTCTTTGGAAAGACAAGGGGGAGGACTTGCACTGTGTCTAAACAGACAAACACAAGTTGCTGTCAGCACACAGTTCTCCCTGCGGGCAATTGTCACATCTTGCTGTGGCTATTTTGCCTTACCAGAACAACAACATAGACCTTCAAGGCACACTTGAGGAGGAGCCGGGCATCCGAAGCAGTGCAAGTACCACCTACGGTAAACGCTTTTAAGTAGCTTTTGCGAGTTCTTGCACTTTTAGCACAGTGTGTCCAACTTCCAAACGTACGTACAACCCTTCTGTCACAGATCAAAGAGCAGTAGTTGCACTCTAGCACTTACCCTCCTTCCTTGCTCCTCTGTGCGGTACGCATGCCTGTACAAGCAGGAGAAAACAGCCCCTGGAGGCATCAGCTCACTAGTCTCATTCCAGCCATGGGTATGGCAGAGACGGGAGGCATCTCCCTGACACTTGCGGTAAAGGACTGTATCCAATCTGCAAACAGAAAAGTTACCACTAGCACTTTGTTCAAACCTTTAACGTTTTTCATGTTCTGAAATGCTTTTGAGGCAGAAAAATCTACTTCAAGTTTCATACACCGCCACGTCATTTAGCAGCGGTGTCTAACCAACTGAACCAACAGATGGCAAAATGCCTGTCACTCAATTTGGAATCAATTCCCTAACATTGCAAAAATACACCAAGATCTTTAATTACAGATTAAATCTTCAACGTTTCTTGAAGCGCCTCCCATTCTCTTCTGCAGCATGCCAGCCAAATGCTGACACATGAGAAAAGAAATCATCTCCTTGATATCCTAAAGCAGCAAAAAGGCAGGTACATACCATGTTTTGCTTGTATAACATCTTACGTGTACTTTGTACTGCTGCCATTTTGAAATGCCAGCTTCATAAAAATCTGAGTTAGATTAATTATTGTCTGCTCTGGATTTGAGCTAATTGAAGACTCAGCATCCCTTGCTTTTGCATACAAAAAAACTGCAAGCGCAGATCTCTTAATAGGACGTCTAATTACATTAAAGCTAAGTGAGATATTGCCAACTTTCCAAAATGGAAACTTCACTAACAACACTTTAGAAGGCAAACATCAAGTGGTATCAGTGGACACAATTACATAGATAATGATAAAAGTAGTAAGAAAACCATTTCTACTCCATGCATCTGTGCTAGGCGCAGAGTTAATACAACAGGTTTCGTAAGCCAGTTTTAGGAAACAGTGGTTGAACAAGATGAGCTAATGTTGCCCAGCCTGCAATATGAATTAGAATTATCCTTACTCCCAGCAAAATGCAAATACTCAGTCTTACTTCTTCCAATCACTTAAGTTTGGCTCAAGCAATGAATTACCTGCTGGAAACATGGCACAGGCAGGAGAACCAGCAATGAAGGGAAACAGGAAGAGCAGGGAAAAAAGTTAAGAGTATTCTTGTCTCCCTATGGAGACAGTTATCGAGATGACTAAATAAACAGCCACAAAGCCCTAAACTCTCTGGTCCATGAAGCCCCATGTATTTTAAAAGCAGAGGGTTCACAGAGCATGTCAGCTCTTAACTACTGGCAATGCTGCCCATAGATACATAGCTTCGTGTCAGATTTTCTTAATGTTTGATTTGAATACCCTTTGCAGTAATCAAAGCCCATGACTTCTTGCCTTACACTCCCTGTGGTCACTGAGAACAATTATTCCATGTCTTGAAGTAACCCCATTTGAGGTACTCTACTTCCTCACCTCTCAGTCCTCTCCAGAAGAAAAGCCAAACACTTTTTCTTTCCTCACTGGTCACGTTTATCAAATTTATACTCTCCTCATCTTAACCCACACATACACAGGGCTCTGTATATATTTAAAACAAAGCACTGCCATCTTTGGATGAGAAACTTGGAAAAGCAGTGCTCCAAAGGGAATTACACCTGCTCTACAGGCTGTAATCACACCTAGAAAATTTTAAAAAAGGCAGAAATGGAAGCAGGGAGCCTCTCACACAGTGTCTCTTTGTTATACTTAGTAGCTTGGTTTTCTTAACTTCCATACGGTAGCGCTCAGAGCAGCTAAAACTGCACAGAAAGTGACCTTCAACTTCAGTATGGCCTGAGAGACTTCTTTTAGTTAAAGATGCATTGAATTTCAGAGCTCAAACTTGAGATGCTTTTTAGGGCTGCATAATTTCTAAGTGAGTACCTGATTTAAGTGGGCATCACACTAACTTTTTCTAAGCAGCTTTTGCTTCTGCTGTTCTAGACAGGCATTAGTGCCCTACAGACCCGGCATGCTTAAAAGTCCTCTTTTGAACAAGCATAAGCTATACTGTTTTACAAGGAACTGCTAATGCATCAAACACTGAATACAAGCATCAAGTGAGGATAAATCTTGTTTTACAGTACTCACTTCCAATCACGAGATATAAAATACTGGAGCTCCAGGAGCCTATGCTCACAGTCCTCTACCATCTTCTCGGTATACAAGTGCTCCATCAGGCAAGACAGAATCCTGCAAACAGAAGAAAAAAGTTAGGCAACAGACTGTTATAATCATGCTGAGCTTCCTCGTAACAGTTGGTGTTGCCAAATCAGTCTTTCCAACGAACCATAGATAAGACATTCAATCACAGTGAAGATCTCTCTCTTCCTTCAAAAAGATTACATCTAAAACAACTGTATGCCACATTTGTATCCTCTTAAATTCCATTGTTTCAGTTCTGATATACGACAAAATCACAAGAAATGTTTTACATAAAATCCGGCTCAGGAGATAATATGTATCAGACCTGATAAAGGAGACATTTCTCTCTGCAGTATGGGTTTGCTTAACCGGCCTTTCAAGGCTTGTTACTTTTCTTTGTGATATTGCTAAAGACTTACGTAGTAAGAGAAATTAGCACATCAAGTGCTGCAAATTTAATCTAAGCACCTGAGACAACTACGTCCTTCACCAGTGCTAAACCAGCCCTGTTATAAAAATACTAGCCTGCTTATATAGCAAGAATGAAGACAGAGCTCGGTTCACACCTCCAGCCCTGTATGAATTGCTAGTTTGCACATTTCTGGACAGGTTTTAGTGGTAACTGAGAGCCACCTACATTGGGTCTCCAGACCGTATGTGCTTGCAGGCGGTCTGTATCACTGATTCACAGGCCTCATTCAACGCTCGGTCAATGCGGTAATCTGCACCGGGGTCGGTTTCTTGAATCAGTGTTTGAAGCTGGAAGAAAGAAATTGTGGATAGGAAAACAAATTATAATAATCAAAATGAGAGCACTTACAACTTCTCAGCCTGGCAATTCTATGCCAATAACAACACTACCAGGTATGACCTCTGCTCTACAGTTGCTTTTTTCAAGCGCTTGTGCTGCCAACTCTATTACCAGACGTGGG